GTTCAAAGTGCCTCTCCTGACATTTGCTGTTCTTGTCTGTACCTAATTGGAATATATGCATGTCATGCCAATCCTGTGTTCCACGGGCTTCGGCTTCTTCTAGTGTCATTCACTGAGGTTCCATCATTCAGACCTGAGCATCACCTGCTCATCGAGACATCGGGTGACTCTCTGGAAGTCCGGGGTTCTCTGTGGGAGATGAGGAGGAGGGTTTTTAGTTATATAGGGTAGGGGTAAACCAACATAATTCGGAAAAAACTCTCCTCTTTCTGTGCCCGCGAAGAAATCTCACGTAGAGGTGTGTTGCTACGAACCCAGCCCGATATAGGCTGGGATGGGGTCTGAGTCGCATGCTCATTGTGCGGTGCTCGAAGGATCAGACAAAAAAAATGTTGGGGCAATTCGAACTGCATATCGCTGTGTGCAGTTGTTACAGTCAGAGCTTCGCTTGCACAAGCACACAGCTTTGTTGCTGTCCGTATACCGCAGGTACCGATGCCGCCTCCTGGCCTCGCTCGGCAGCTCCTGCATGGATTTCGAGACGATGTTGCAGATCGCGAGCCTGCCGGTGCCGCCCAGCCCACGCCAGGGTTCCTCTTGGTTCAGGGTCACTATTTCTAGATAAAGATATATTTGTGAAGCCTGGGCTTGGCATCAAGATTATAAGGACTGATCCTGTAGGAGGGTCCAAGACAAACACCCGAACACCCTAAGTAAGCCCTCTGTAGACCCCGATTACAACCCAGTAAACATAACCTTCAAAATCCTCAAAGAAACCATCAACCCCGCACCCCGAGCTCCCAATGCCCTTTCTGTCTTTTATGCAGTACATGGAAGCCTTCGATTGATTATGTCGAATTCTTCTACCCAAAACCTATGCAGTACCAAGTCAAGCCATGGCCCATCGGTGCAATGGGGTCATAAAGGTTCACCTATACCCTATGAACCCTAAACCCGTATAGCCCTAGGAACCCTCGCATCCTACGGTTGCCGAAGCCTTTGAAACCTGGTTAGAGAGTCTGTGTCCACCTCCTTTAGAGCATTACAGGGTTTGGGGTTAGCATGGCTGCTCTGATGTGGGTTGATACATTAATGGCTGGGCTCTGGGGTTCATTTACACTGCTTGAGAATTGGATAAGAAGAGCTGCCGATTGAGTCAGTAGGGGTATCGATGTTCTGGGTGATATAGATCACTGGGCTCAGTTTATCCAAGAAGAAGCCTAGTTAACCTCTCTTCATTCAATGTGATGATGCATCAGCTTTTCTTGCCCTGAAATGACACCGGCCTGTTGCTGTATAAACCCTGCTTCGTGGCATCAACACTAGACAATCTGCAGTCTGTTCTCAATTGGTCCAATTGGTAGATGTATCCCAGAACACCACACACCTACAGGATTAGCATACACATACCCCGACCTCTCGAACATGCTGCCGGCCACCACGTACTTCGGCACTGCGACTCTGGGGCAGCAGGAGCTTCGGCATCAGCAGGCCGGATCCGCTTTACCTTTATGGCAGGGTTTCGGGGGGGACTTACATGTTTTTATATAGGCTTTATAAGAGGTTCAGGGCCTTGAGGGGTTGAGGAATTTCAAGGAGGGCCGGGCAGTCCGATATTCAACCAGGACAAGTTTTCGAGCTGCTGCTGCCGCCACGGTTTAGGGCTCTTTAAGGTTTTACAGGGGTTTATTGGGTTTAAGGGCTAATAGGGTTGATTAGGGTTTCTATATAGGGTTATATGACTTTATATAGGTTTCTATATAGGGTTTAGGGTTCTAAGCTCCACAAACCTATAAAAAATCCCTAAACAGTGCGACCTGGGAAGCCCGCATCGCCAGGTGTGTCTCAGTTCCAGCTCGCGAACTGCTGCTTCCGCCGCTCGAAAGCTGTGGTCTTTAGGATTCGAGGGTTTTTTTCAGGGTTAGGGATTTAGGGTGTATAGGGCTTGTAAGGGTTTATAATAGGGTTTAGGCTATACAAGGTATGTATGTATGTATATATATATGTGTGTATATATATATATGGGCTTATTTTGAATAGGGTTATATATTATATGGGTGTATAGGCTTTTCGAGTTTCGGGTTGTATAGAGCTATATATCTATCTATATATCTATATATCTATATATCTATATATCTATATATCTATATATATATATATGTATAGGGCTTACTTACTTTACCCCTATAAGACCTAAGCCCCCAAACCCGGATTCCTCAACTCACAACCCACAACAAGCAACAACAAAGTTTCCCACTTAGCCGGTGAAGACCGGAGTGGCCCAAAAGCCCCAAACCCGGATTCCTCAACTCACAACCCACGAAAAAGCAACAAAGTTTCCCGCTTAGCCGCTGAAGACCCGAGTGGCCCAAAAGCAGTGGTTCGGACCCAATGTAAATCTATATAGGTCTCGGGCCCGACTACTACTACTACTACTACTACTACTACTACAACTACTACTACTCCTACTCCTACTCCTACTCCTACTCCTACTCACCCCTACTCCTACTCCTACTCCTACTACTACTACTACTACTACTACTACCACCACTACTGCTGCTGCTGCTGCTGCTGCTACGGCGACTTGTCGCCCTTGTGCCACTGCTACTACTCCTACTACTACTACTACTACTACTACTACTGACTACTACTACTACTACTACTACTACTACTACTCCTCGTCCCACTGCATACCCCTCAGGAACCCTAAGCCCAGTACGACTACATACCCAAACTCTATAAAGAACCCTAAGCCCTTCGTAGCACCCTTGCTGCCGAGGTTTGATCGTCTTCGTTGTCTTCCAGATGCCAGTGCAGATCCAGAAGCGAAGGCCTCCTGTGCCGGTGTTCAAGGAACGCCGGCGAAAGTTTCCTAAAGGACATTTTTCGACACGGGATCTTGCTAAGATGATGGATGCAAGGCTGATAAGTTTGGGACGAGTGCTTCGCTGTTGTCGGGAACTCTGTCAGTCGAAATCAGCACCTGCAGCACGTCTACTATCGCGAATTGAGAGGTTGGTCACGAAATACGAACGATTGCAGATGGGTGCTGAAGACAGCCGTGAGTATACTGGGTCTGGATCTGAATGAATGGCGACCCGATGCTGGAATGTTTTTTTACAGGTGCCTGGCGACTCTAGCTGCTAGCTTTCTGGAGCTGAGATGTTTGCAGAGGGCTTCAATGGTGATGATGGAGCAAAACGAGCCGTGTTCTGGGGCCCCTCATTAATATGCCTAGTCGCAAACCCAGACCCCGAACCACAAGACCCCAAGTATAGCACACTACGAGCCCTTAAGTCATCATCATAATCATCACCACCATCATCATCCTCATCAACAACACCATTGTCATCATCATCACATTCACCATCATCATCATCATACATGTTGTCGTCGGCTTCAAAACAACACCCGCATTTGCCCTGCAATCCCTACAAAGCGAGGCAGAAGCTCGCAACCGAAAGCCCCTAGAATCCTCGAAAGCCATTTACAAGCTCCGAAACCTGTGCCCCAAGGCTCCTAGTTAGCCAGGTAAAGGCTTCCCCCAGCAGCCGCCCAAAACCTCCGAGCTTTAGGTTTTCAGGGCTTCTCTTTGAGTGGGGATGGGTCTTGTTGTTTGGGGTTTATAAGTTGGGAAGGTCGGGTTTTGGGGCTCTGGGGCTTTAGGCTTTCGAACTTTTCTTTGAGTGGGGATGGGTCTTCGTGTTTGGGTACTAGTCAATTAGTCCAAGTTCCGAAGGTCGGGTTTTGGGACTCTGGGGCTTCAGGCTTTCGAGGGCTTCTCTTTGAGGTGGGATGGGTCCTCGTGTTTGGTTTATAAGTTGGTTTTGGGGCTCTGGGGCTTTAGGCTTCGAGGGCTTCTCTTTGAGTCGTGAAACCCTATAAATCCTATAAACCTTATGAACCCTATAAACCCTGTATATCCTATATAAACTCTAAACCCTATAAACCCCAAGACAACTTGTCCAGACATCATGTGAAACTCCTCATCCGCATGATTGCCTGTGTGCATGTCTGGACACAGATCTATCGGTTCACCCTGCTACCCTGCTGCTGCAGATGCCCAAAGACTAGATGAGCTCGTGCCTGCTGCCAGAAGCTTCTTGAAGACGTGTTCGCACAAACTGCAAGTGGCCAGGGGTGTTTGTAGATGGTTGAACTGAGGGATCAACAGTTCGGCAAAGGTTGTTTGTGAGTAGCAAGCCAACCTTGTATCCCGGCCAGCACTACAGAGAATGTGGTCGCACTTGTTCTGCATGCTGTAGTAGTAGCAGCAGCAGCAGCAGCAGGAGCAGCAGGAGTAGTAGTAGTAGTAGTACTACTACTACTACTACTACTAGTAGTA